TAAAGACAGCTTAGGAAAGTACTTCCTGAAAAAAAACACTTTATGTATTCGGGCCTCAATAAAGAAAAGTCATACTATAGTATCTCGTTTTTCGCAAAAAAGGTCATGATTCAGAATGTTTTCAAAACGTGTCAGGATGTAATATATAGTGGAAATAGTGCCATGCATGTCGTAGAAATCACCTCAGGAAAGTATTTCACAAAGAAAAGTCCTTTTGGGTTTTGGCGTGAAATAAAAAAGTCATACTATAGCATGTCGCACCCTTTTGGGTGCTCGGACCCTAATTAGAGTTGCTTTTTTTCTCCTTTGTGCATATACTACTCACAACCTTTAATACTTTATTAAATCCTCTTAATCCTTTTCAACATGGGTAGTAAATATAAGTACACACAGCGTCTCTAAAATTCCATCTGACATCCATGGGTTACCCTGGAACAAACTTGATCCAGCCTGACTGATATACAATCATATATGATAGCATTAAATTATGACTGTAGTGGAGTAGAATGTACAATATTTCTCTCTGAAATGCAGTGGAGTGGAAGTATCCAAACAAAGTCCATGTACTTGGTCACTTTCCACCACTGAGGGACTGTTTACATACAAGCAGTTGTCTATCGTTGTCACTAGGTGGCACCTTTGTTTCAGGGTTTGTAGTGAGTTCAGAGTGAAGTTGTGCTGAGGGGATGATCCCAGTTCTTGGAATATTTATAATCAATATGTAAACTTGTTTTTTTCTTTCTCCAGTTATAATCACTGTTTAGAGTAGATTTAGAGTATCCAGTTAGCGTAAGGTTTGTGCTTTTGTGTTGTGGGAGGAAACCAGAGCATCCCGGAGAAAACTCACGCGAACACGGGATGAACACAGAACTCCACACAGAAAATGTTTTTGTTTTTGTGAGGCTGCAGTACTAATCACCGCGCTGCCCTTAGAGAAAGAGGATAGAGAGAAGAAATAAAGGCTTGACTGAGAAACGGGGAGAGGATGAGGTAGATAGGGGTGAAGGATAGAGATGAGGAACACAGAGTAGAGTGGGGGTGAGGTCATGGAGGAGGGAAGAATAAGAGCGGGGGAGATGGTGCAGGGGTAACTGATCCACTAATAGATGTAGGTGTGGAAAGCCCCTGGAATCTTTCTAATGAGTCGTCTCAACGAGCTGACGTTCTCTGTGTTGGTCTCAGTTGGAATGTTGACCTCAAGGTGGCTCTCCAACGATATGGCTGCCAGAGACAAAGTTGGATTAAGGATTTCATCTTGTGTGTGAGTGATTCTAAATTGTCTGAATGTGAGTAAGTGTGAATGTGAGTGTGCTTGGTTGTCTGTCTCTAAGTGTGGCCCTGCGATGGACTGGCGACCTGTCCAGGGTGTCCCCTGCCTTTTCCCTAAGTCGGCTGGGTTAGGCTCCAGCCCCCCCGCGACCCTAGTGAGGATTAAGCAGTGTATACATAATGGATGGATCTTCTGTGTGACTCAGTTCAATGGTGAAGTCCTCAGGTTGGACATTGGCCTCTGGACATGACTCGCCCAGTGTTACAGGGAGCGGTTTTAGCATAGAACTTTGTCTTCTGCGCACATTATTTCAATCCTCTGCACATTACTTTAATGTCTGAGACCTCACATTGAATGTTGGTCTCTAGAGATACTTCTGAACCTCTACAATAACTGTGAATGTTTGGATGGACATCTTCTGTGATGTGCGTCCCCAGAATTTTAAAAGTGGAGACTCTCTACATCCTTGCCATCAAAGAGGACTGCACTGGGGTTTGTTCTCCTCGTCCTCCTGAAGTCCACTATAATTTTTGTTTTCTTGCTGTTGAGAATGAGATTGTTAGCTGAACACCAGGCTTTGTCCCTCGTTTCTCATCACTCTCCCGTCACTCGTTAGAAATCATGGACATGACTGTCGTGCCATCTGCAAACCGGACAACGGTCTTTGTTACATGACGAGTTTACAGGGAGGGCTCAGCACACAGCCTTTGGGATCAGCAGTGCTCAGGGTGAAGGTAGAGGATGTGTGCTTTCCTAACCTGACTGTCTGGGGCTGGTTGGTCTGGAGAGCCAGGGTCCAGTTACAAATGTGATGGGAAACAATGAGTTTACGGGTATTACTACTCCTCCCATTACTGCTTATCAGCCCAATTCTCTTAATAATACTTTTATCAGACTCCACTTAGTAGAAAAGTTACCATTACCACTTACAACAGTCTGAGACTTATGCCGCAAAGGGTCCGAGTTCACTGAATCTCAGCTCCCAGTCGTGCAGCTTGCAGCCTTCTGGCTCGACCCTCCCAAGCACTGACATACAGCCTGCAGGCTCAGACCTCCCTCATTTCTGTCAAGAGCATGTGCTACAGGAAAGTGTTCGCTGTTGCACTGATATAAGTCAGTGAGTCAGTCAAGCTGGTCGAATGGCAAAATCATTGGAAGTGTAGTATATGATTAAATGGTCAACTTTTTTTTTTTACTCAGGTAGTTTTCTTTCTTCACCACGTGTCTGTTTGCATTCCTGTTAATGCAGTCTTTGAAAGAAATTTCAAGAAATAAACCTGAGCATAAAACAAAGGCAACATGTTTATTAAAACTATTTACAGTTCAAATGCCCTTAAACAGTAATAGCTTTTACCTTTCAACAGGTTGATGTCTGTAAATATTTCCTTTCAATGTGCTCAGAAAACATCAAACTGGGAGCAGGAAGAACAAAATTAAGAACATTATCAAAGAAGTTTAACGTTGTCATTAACCTGAACACAAGAAGACAAACGATCTCTTAGTTCAAGAACGACCTGTGAAACAACTTCATTCACTGAACATTTGAGCTTTTTAGCAAAGCAAAAATGTAAATACACCAAAGCGCTGCCATTATACAACATTCAACAGTCCAACTGGCAGTACCGAATATAAATACTGACTGGTATGTCATGAACCTTTAAAAACTCTACACATACCTAATCCTGAACACAGACTGAAATAGAATTATACAACCGAAGCTTAAACACATACAAAACTAAAGCCTAGTCAACAAGGGAAAACCTGAACAGCTGTCGCTTTGCATATGATAGACAATTTTAACAATTGCCTGAAGATCTGTCAACATGGACCACAACGTTCTACTTCAACACCTCCATTGAATCAGTAAGGCATCTTTAATCCCCGAATTCAAACTCCTTCTCCAACCTCATGCTATGAAGTTGTAAACGAGGAAGGCTGGTGTGTTGCAGTACTTGGTGGCAAACAGTTTGCCGTCAGGTGTCGGATCAGAGAACGCCATTTCCTCCTTGGTTAGATGGCTGCCGTACATGAATGTGCTCCTAAGAAAAAACAATGGGAAAGATTACTCTAGCATCACAATAACAAACGGGTGTGACTCTGCTACAGTCAGTTTAGATGGTTCACACATTTTGTTGGAGTGGCGGTCCCCTTGCAGATTTTAGGTAATTAGTTGCATTAGCTCTTAATTGGAGGCAAAGAGGTTTGAGTTTTCATAAACAAGAAAAAATGAAATTTGAAGCTTTCTTCGATGAGAACTTCAAGGATAATTCTGGTTTATTTCAGCATATAGAGCATTTCACATTTATGTGGTTGTATGGGTCATGCCAACTGTTTTGTCTCCAACTCTTGTAGAGATTCAGACAAACAAGGAGTTTCACAACAGTCTATACTGAGGATGTGTTTGTGCTGAAGAGGTCTTCGCTAATGAGTTCAAATTGTTCATTTCTGTAAGAATAAGATGCCAGCAGTTTTCATCATCTGCTGCATAATAAAGACATACTTCATCTGTGAGTAGGTGCTCTGTAAATTGACCCCAACAAGCATTAATAGTCACTGCCTCTAAGTGCTAGCTACAAAACAAAGTTTTGAAATTGTTTGTGTAGAAATAATGTTTTTTTTGAGGCTGCAGAAGACTCATGCTTTTCGCCAAACACCTTTTTGTGCAACTCCTCGTTCCCCCCCAGTAACTGCCCTCGTTCTACTTTTAATCTAAAGTTTATGTTTTTCCTGGATTTTGAGAAGAGGAATATTTGAAGTGGTCATACTTTTAATTGACATCCAAATAAAGTGGTAGCTTAATTGGAAAAACTGATTATCTGTGCACCTGTTTTTAGCATCAAGGGATTTTGAGACCTCAATGATTGCTTTTGGCAAAAACAGGGTTCTAACAGATAAAACCAAAGCTGTGAAACTCAACCATGGTAAATAAAGGGTAATTAAACAACACAACAAAATGTGGAGAAATCAAGTTGTCATGATTTAAACAGCTATTACTGGTTTAGAGGTTTCATCAAAATCACAGTAACATGCAAAAGCTGATCTATCATGAACGTTTCTCATCAGTACATTTTATTTGGCTAAGTTGGATGTGCTAATTTGTACGACAATATTAAGACTTGTGCTGAGTGTGACGGTCTACCTGACGGTGTCCAGCATGCGGGTTGCGATGCCCTGTCGTCTTGCCAGGCTGAAGACCCAGATCCGACTAATCCCACACAGAGCTTTTTCTGGGACAGTGGAGCAGCACCAGGCTCTGTGCCGCTCCATGAAGTCGTCCTTTGTCATATCCTTGGGTCGATCGGGCTGCTCGAGGACTCTGAAAGCCTGCAGGGTATTTATACAAAAGTCATGATGCCTGCAAGCCCTGCTTGACATGAGCTCATACTTCATAGAATGAAATACTACTGATTCAGAATGAAACAAATACAGGACATGACAAAATAAACCACCAGAGACACTGTTGGGGTTTTCCCTCAGTTTCTGGAAGGATGCTGCACTCTTGTGACTCGTGTGTTTGTGGAGGGTTTGGGGGTCTTTTACCAAGAAAATTTGCTGGTATTTGACTGAAAACTTTCATTGTCCCAAAACCATTTGACAGAGGAATGACATTTAGTTACTATATAAACCTCATGTCTGATCCGATGTCTGTAGGTCACTTTCTCAGTGGATTTCACCAGCTGACTGAGTTACTGTAGAGAGTAGATTCCTTTGTCATTTGACTGGTTTTGTTCCGACAGCTGTACTTCTTGGCTTCTTTAAGTTATTTGGATTTTCTTGCTGCTTCATTTCCTCAGAAAAGGTACTATGAACTTGTTTTTTATTAATCATGAAATTATTTCTCCACAGGAGGAGCCTTCAGAGTTGCCTGCAAATGTAACTGGACAAACAAAACACTTTAAAGGGTATTTAACTCTGAAAGACTAAAACGGACTCAAACCACTGCTGACTGCAGTGCTAGTCAAGAGTAGACTTCTGTAAGGTCAGTGGCTGTGAAAAACATTGAGAAAGTCTTTATGAACTATTGTTTATAGCGCCAACTCTGGTATAGTTACAGTATTTTATCTGATCAATAGGCATTGTCCCTGTCAAATAAATTAACTTAAACAAATAAAAGAAGGCACACATGCTAGTTTCACACAGTCCTACCTGTCGTATGGGTTCAGCCACGAGACATCCCACCACCATTCGCTCTGTGTTGATGAACAGGTAGGTTTTAGCCTGCGTCGGTCTACTCAGAGTCACCTGCTGGAAACCCAACTCGCTGTCCGCTACACGGCGCACGTCCTCAGCCTGAACTCAACCAAACAGCAAAAGGCATTAAAACATTAAAGAACAGATTTGTACACTTTAGTCAAATTTGTTGAATCTCTGTATGTTCTTTGTCACTCAGTAACATGTTCGACTGTCTGTATTTCTAACTGTGCTTTTGGCTGATGAAGTGATGGCAGATTTCATACTACACATGTGATGAGAAATAAAAAATAAAAAAAACTTAAGTGCTGCAGTGTGCAGGCCCACACCTTTTTAACGGCATATTTGGGATCATCTGGCATGACCAAGAGAATTTTTCCATCCCAGAACTCGGCCACCACCCGCTCCTTCTTCCAGCCCTGCAAACACAACAGAGGAAAGATGCTGCAGTTACGAGCCTCGGTGATAATTATCATTTGCTCGAGGCTTCAAATTGTATAAGTTCTGAGGTAATCCTTGAAGTGATGGAGCTCTGTAATCAAGCAGTTTGTTTTCTGCGACCTCGTAACTTGACAAACATTTTAAATCTGCTCAACCCATGTTCAAATATTGTTGAGTTATTCTTTTACAATCCTTTTTAAAACGTTTATCACACCTCAGATAGTCTCAAACTGATATTGTGCACTCTAAAGGTGTCTCTGTACTAAATAATTCAGAGGGTGAAAGTAGGAGTGAAGTTTTACCACAAATTTGATGGAGTCAAGGAAGCGCTGGTGGAACTGGGTGTGCTGGAAATTGTCCTCCGGATTATCTGCACTGTATACCATCCCACATGAGCTGCAGGTTGTTGCTCCGAACTGTTTCTGACCTGCATCCTGACAGAAAAAAAATACACACACACTCAACTATAAACTCCACTTTTCCCCACTCCAACCTACTTGTGACATGTATTGTCAAACCAAAACATGACAACCAGCTACTGAAGACACAAATAATGTAAATCCATGTCTTACAATGATGAGCTGGTCATCATCCTGCTTCTCCTTCCTCCTGCGAGCACTTCGCTCTTTAGCGGCTGCAGAAGGAGTTTGAACTGACATTACTGTGCCAGAGGGGGTGCTGCAGGACACCGGAGTCCGCAGAGCTGTGCTCTTCAACCTGCAGGGCATAAAATAAAAATATTGCAGTGTTGTTTCATCCATCCTTTATCTATACACCGCTTTATCCTCACGAGGGTCACGGGGGGGGCTGGAGCCTGAACCCAGCCAACTTAGGGCGAAGGCAGGAGACACCCTGGACAGGTCGCCAGTCTATCACAGGGCTACACTTAGAGACAGACAACCAAGCACACTCACATTCACACCTACAGACAATTTAGAATCACCAATTAACCTCAACATGTTTTTGGACTGTGGGAGGATGCCGGAGAACCCAGAGAGAACCCACGCTGCACAGGGAGAACATGCAAACTCTACGCAGAAAGATTCCGGTGCCCCCACCGGGACGCGAACCGGCAACCTTCTTGCTGCGAGTGCTACCAACTGCGCCACCCTGCAGCCAGTGTTGTTTCAGTTGATGCAAAACAAACAAAACATAAAAACCCAGAATTAAACAAAATGAAACAAAAGAGACCAAAAAAAACTGCCAAGAAAAAACATGGTATTCAAAGTGACTCAACACTACACATTGGTACAGGCTGCAATTTATTTATTTTTTATAAATGTTAAATTAACAGCTATTGATTTGTGGAAGTACTCCAAACTAATAAGATCAGGGTTGAACATCTTCAAACTAGTCTCGTGATTGACTGTCCACTCTTTCATCCTTTTGCTGTTCATCTTCCCAGTGAATGTATTTATCAAGAGAAGATTTTGATCATGTTTTCCATCTTCTAACTTTAAAATCTTTTACCTTCTGCAGGACACACTCACCGTTTCTTGTCATACAGAAATTTCCCTTCATGCCTTGTTAAACAATACAGTATAAATACATTTTATACACAAACCGCCTCACCTTTTTGAGGCAGAACCAAATATGGGGTACACCGCAGCAGGCTCTGGAGAAAATTAAACAGCTTTCATGTAACAATGACTTTGGAAACATTAAAAAAAAGCAACAGCAATGGATAAAGCAGATGTGAGGTCTACGGGATTTGGTTTGTGCCGGTCAGTGTTTAAGTGAAGCATTGGGACTAAAACAGCATGCACACACACCTTTGGGCGGGCTGGAGGCAGCGCTGCTGGGGTTAATATCACTCAGGTCGAAGACAGGCTCGGAGCCACTTTCTGTCACAAAATCATCCTAGGAGAGAGAGGTGTTTAATGTTAATACAAATCTAGCTTAAAGCAGGATTACACCGTCTTGTGGACGCACACACAGAAAGCTGCTGACACCACTGACATGAAACTGTTGAAGCCTGTGACATCCACAGAATGGTCTGTGTGGATTCTCAGATTTTGACAGATGACAAACTTCACTCAGAGTCTAGTAGGCCGTCAAGTACTCGACCCACATCTCTGTTTAGACTGTTAAACTGAACTTAGTCAACTTATTAATTTTCAAGAGCAAAATTTCTATCCAACAAACATATCAACATGTGCGTGTGTACCTGAGTGTTGGAGGATGAGGCTGTAGCTGCAGAGCTTGATGTAGAGGTCCTTGACAACACAATCTTAACCTCCCGGGTAATCACATACTTTTCTTTTAACGCTTTCGTAGAACTGAGGGAAGAAAATGAAGATCATTGGTTACCTGGAGTAACAGATTTTCCCCAAAACTAAAAATATATATATAGTATATATATACACATATAGAAATCTTTTGTCAGGGATTAACAGATTTTTTTTTTAAACACACCATTGAAGTACTATGGTGCTTTTTAGACTCAACAGAACATCAGACATCATTACTTTTAATTTGCATAAAAAACTAAAAACAAAATTAAGGACAGTTAAACTTTCACGCATCAGTAATGTACCTCACTGGCTGCACAGTTTTAAACTCATCATCATCAGAGTCAATCCAGTCGGATGGATCACACCTCACTCTCTGTTTGGTGCTCAGTTGGTTCTCCTCTCTATTGACCGGCTGGACAGCCGTCTGCAGGAAGCAACCAGGATAAAATATCGACATTAACTTGACAATATCAGGTCAATTTCAGACTGGGATGTACGAGTTACAAAGACGCCTTCAGATTTAAGCAACACCTCTGAAGCTCTGTGATAACTCATCTTCCTAAAAATCAAAGAAAAAACCGTATGTCCCTCTGAGGAATCTTTACAACAAAAGGAAAAACCAAAGGCACTGAGGGTGTTAGAAAAAGTATTTATCCTTACATGGCTGACATTCCTTAATCAGATTTTAATTTTACTCTTTACATTTTTAATCGTGTCCCCAGACTCCAAACAGTATCTGTTTGTTAAGCGTGATTCTTAAAACTTTAAGCCAGTTGGATATTCTTTATGCTAGGTTCTCAGTGTGCCCAGTATTGTGTATAGTTTCTTGGAAATGTTCCTTTATAATGTAACAGCAACCAAAAAAAGAAGTTGATTAATAGTTGCAGCACTAAAACATACAACACCACGTTTTGGAAATCGGTTTCCAGACCACATTTGATTGTTTACTGAAGTAAAACACTTCATCTTTAAGCAGATGTGAAGATATTTTATGGAGCTCTTAAATGGAATAAAATGGGCAGAGCCTTTCTTTCTTAAACATCTGATTATACTAATTCAATAATTATTTTGGCTTCCTCATTCATTTAAAAATGAGACTTGAAATGTCTTTCTGTTTAGCCCCTCAAAGTTGAGTGTAGCCATAAGTCCTTTTCTTGTCTGCATGCTATTTAAGTACTTGTTAAGGTATATTAAAAATAAATCTTTAAATTTGTGTTTTAAAAAAGATGCACACTAGTTTTTTTTCTTTCTTAAGATGGCTTAATATTGTCCTAAATTTGAACCACTCCTGCTCTTTGGGCAAGTAAATTAATAAATCCTGTGCCCCATCTCACTCTTAACTCTACAACTATTAAGCTTTCTGTTCCACTTCACGGCATTCTGAAACTGAGCTGTTGGTACTGTTCGTAAGAACAAAGCAATCCACTTTTGTGTGGGATACAGAATTCACTTGATAATATGAAATAAAATGGACATTAAGAGATGACATAAAACTTTAAAATATGCTTAAACTATACTGGTGACAACTTATCTGGCATTTAAATAAACAATATATAATAGACTTACCTTTTCTGGTTCTTTCTGCTGTTGCTTTGTCATTGAAGCGACCTGCTGCTTTGATGTCTCGCTCTGTGGCAGTACAGCTTTGTTTTTCTCTGGGACTGAAGCTGGCCTGGAGTACGACTTGGGTGCAGCTTTCTTGTACATGGACGTAGGTTTTTTCCCTGTACTAAAGAAAGCAGCTCCAACAAAGATCTTGGGCTTGGGCTTCAGGCTGCTGAACGTGATGGTGATTGCTTTTTTAGGCTCTCCAGGGTTGCTGCTGGCAGGTGCTGTGGTCACAGCAGCATCACTGTTGAATTAAATAATGCAGTTGTTAGGAAAAATACATTAAAGATAAACACAACTACAAAAACTCATGATAATAACATGAAACCTCTGAGGTCCATGAAACTAAAGCATGGTGTCAAAAAGCTGCTGAAGCACCAACATAACAGTCACGACTGTATTGTGGTGTAAATTAAAACAAACCTGCTGTTGATTTTTGACAGCTTGATCGGCTTTGTAGATGCTGTATATTTAAAAGCTGTCTTCCTCCCATTACTAGGTCCTGTAGTCGCCTTTCTGGGTTTGCTGCCTCCTTTAGAGTTCTTCTTAGCCTTCTTTCCTGGCTTTTTGGCCAAAGGAGGAGAAGAAGAGGGAGGAGAAGGAAGACGTGACGGCAGAGACTCTTTTATCGCCTTCCTCTCAAGCGGAGTGAGATAGATAGGCTTCTGCTTGCCATAGAAGGAGCTTGTAACCAAGGAAGGTTTGAATGGAGACTTGCGGGGCGACTGGGCTGGTGAGCCTTGAAAAAACAGATACAAAGACTGTGAGATACATATCAAATGACAGTGCTCATCCGTACTATGTCTTAACTTGCTAACCATAAAGACCAGATATAGAGATAGCAAATATTGGTGTCAAGCCATCCAACAAAAACATCTTTGCCACACTTTTCACCAATCTATCCTACCTGCTGGTTTACGTGGGGACTTCTGTGGGGAGGAGCAGTTCTCCTTGTCCGGACATCCGACTGGCTTCTTTCTTGTTGGAGGCTTTCGTGGGGATCTCCTCTTCACGGGTGACATCTCCTCTCTAACCCCCTTCTTGGACGGGTCACTGAAGTTTGAGCAGCAAAAGATCAGGTGAGAAATAACTACAATGCCACAGATTCAACACAGCTCTTCTCAGGTTTCCAAATGAAAACAAATGAATGCAAATGAAACACTGAATATGAGGATACACAATATATCAATGAAGGCAGGATTAAGCAACAAAAAAATAATTTTCCAACATCTCAGGGTTTCAATTTATCAGAGAGTACAGTTGAAAGTAAATTAGCAAGTCAACCATCTGAAGAAATATTTGATCGCCATGTGTTCACAGCCTACCTGTCAGAGTCCAGAGACGGGAGCTTTCTCTTCCTGGTAGTCCTGGGCATCATTTTCAACTTCACCTACACACAGATTCAAATTATCAGGTCTTGTGTCTTGTACATAATAACTTTAAGCATTTCACCTTTGAAATAAAGGTTGTTGATGTACATTCAGGTATGTCTCCAAACTCCAGAAAAGCAGGTGAAGCATTTCCTATGTAATACATTTACAATTTCCCAACTTTATTGTAATACCATTTATGTTGAGTCTTAAAGACAGAATATAATACACTGTTGGGTAGCACAAAATAACCACAGCCACATTTACAGTAAGAATCATCTGTTAGTATGTTATGATATTATTGCTGATAATTCGAGTAATTCCTCTGAAATCCAGGGCCTAACAGCACAAGCTTTCCATTGGAGGTCGTAGAGAGTCACAGTCAGCAGCACACCTTTGGGTCACCTTCTGTGTTTGATGCTAAATTAGCAGCTTTTCAGGAGGAGTTGTGTTTGACTGTGTCAGCAGCAGAGTGTATGGAGCCTACAAGGGCCACCGCAGAACACTAGATCTTTATATCTACGAGCTTTATGCTCGATTATGATCTCGAAGAGGGTGCTCGATATAACGATATGTCTGAAACTGCACAAATAAATTATCGCGACGTGAACGTTAGCTTAGATTAGCTTAGCGTTGCTTGTTAGCTAACGAGCCGCTTATTTAAGAGCTAAATTGGAGGTGAACGGATAATTGGCGGGATGAGTAGATCATACAAGGGTGACTTCTGCGTCCGATATAAAGTACCAAGCGTGTCAGTATCGATGAGCAGTCGTCTACATTTGGGCAGGACCGACTGTCTGCGTGTTCAATAAAAAAACGAAGTAAATATAGTGTTAAACATGAGTAAGCTCGGACGGACAAGCGCACATTCAATTATCGCTGCTTATATCACAAGTAAATACGTCTCCGTCTAAACATCTAAATACGTTTCGTAGAGAGACAAGCACAGTGTCAAAGACCAAAACTCCAACAACATCAGGCCTTTTATTTTTCTTACCGAGCAGGTTTCTGCTGAGCTTCACAAAACCATAAATGTCGGTGTAAAGTTTGAGGCGCTCGCGCTGATCCTGCTTGTTCTACGCGCGGTTCTTCTGTGTGTTTTTCGAACAGCGCGCGCAGTCCTAAGAAAAAAACTGCAGCACGTGACCAGAAACAGCGCCTCGCATTCATCGAGTTACCAAAGTAAAGGTCTGGAGGGACTTCCGATCTTACTCTTCAAAATAATATTGGTGGCTCTATATGCCGTCGATATTTACCTTCTTACATTTTTACAAACTCCACAAACTGAGCATTTTTCACACTACAATGCACATCAAATTTATTCATTTATTTATTTAGTAATACCACACTTTTAAAAGCACCTGACTTGACCAAAGTGCCAGATAATTCTAAATTTGATTTGTAAAGCTATAGAAAATTGTCTAAAATGCTAAAAGAAGGCAAAATAGGACAGCAGCTTGTAAGATCAGTTTCTAAAATAAATATTACTGGCAACCAAGACCGCTGATAACATGTACAGCATGAGATTTTCTTAAAAATGTCAATAGAGGAGAAACATTTCATTGAGCCAGAGAAGTTCTGACATGTTCCCAGGTGCCCGGCTATGCATGGCTTTGTGAACAACATCAACACTAAAAAGATCTTTCACCATGCTGACTAGATCTTTCAGAAACTTCCTGACAACATGATCATCTGCATCGTGTTTTTAGGCCTTATAATGTGTATTTCATTTATCGAGCATGCTTCATTTATCCACTCAATTTCAGTCATTTGTTTTCATATGGAAACATAGTTGTCGACTCATATGGCTCATGATTCATTAACAACCAAAGACTTGCATGTCTCGAGGTGTGACTGGCTGTGAAACTGACTGGTCAGGGATGACTCAAGGTGCTGATGGTGGTAGAACTTGTTGGGGAGAGATCTCAAAACTGTGTTAGATCTACCAGACAACTGATTGTTTACAGACGGCTGCTCCAGTTCAACATAGATGGTCTCCTCCCCTCTCAGATCTCCTGAAGGTGAAACATCTTCAGTAGCCAAAGGTTGAAGTCCAGTTGCTTTTACTGAAGCTCTTAGGATTGCCACAACATGAATGGCAAACAGACTCTAATATGAAAAGAACTAATTTGGGATTTTAAAGACTCTCATTTGGAAAACTGTCTCATGTGTCACCAAAAACAACCAAATTCCCATGCACCCAAACAAAAAAATTAAACAAAAAACAGCATCAACAAACAGAATGTACAGTTATAAAGCACTGTGGGGGAGTGCATTGATTCATTAGGGACTGGTTTATGGACCTGAAGCTCTTATTTAGTAGCTGCAGTAGTTGCTAACAGTCAATAGCTTCACTCAGCTAACTAACAACTTCCGGGTCAACTTGTACATGCGAGCAGTGACAGCAGCGGCGATCAGTCAGCACACAGCTCATGATACTTTCTTGTTTTCATAGTTAGCGTTTAGGCTTTCAGACTTTTTACACTTCGTGTTCGTCATTTGGCGGCGAGTTTTAATTGACCTAAAATGGTGTTTTACTTCACAAGTGCCGGTAAGTAGATCCGCGGAGCTAGCAGCAGGCTAGTAGCTAGCAGCTAGTAGCCTGGTTAGCTCACTGCTCTTTAAAGCTGTTTTTTTTATTTGTCTCGTTCTGTGTCTTTTATGTGTTGTGTCCCTGCTGTGGTTGCTGTTTCACTCAGTAACTGTCAGTGTCTTGTGTCCTTTTCAGTGGTGAATCCTCCCTTCACAATCTACATGGGAAAAGACAAGTATGAAAGTAAGATTGTTGTCGGTGGATCAACCACACGCCCTTTTTTTTAACGCAGCTATATTTGTTCTGTCTCTCTGAATGTTTATCTGTTCAGTCAGCTTTTGTGTAAATGATACCACATCAGCTCTAACACGAAGCTGTTTGTCAACAGACGAGGATCTTATCAAGTACGGATGGCCTGAAGACATCTGGTGAGGTTCTTTATCTTGAATTAGCTTGCTGTGAGATGTTTCTGTAGCTTTACTGTAGTGAAGTAGGTCAAACAATGTGACATGTGTTATCTTTATCAGAAAACTGCGGCTGCTGCTGTTACCACTTCATTATTTCAATAATGTTTTGACTAATTGTTCAGCCCCACTGTAAAGTGACTAAACACACAATAAAAGTGTGCAGACAGTGACACACATGTTGTATGTGGAAATTATCATCAAGCAAGTGCATGTGGACTCATTTGCCCTCAGTTTTCTGTTTCTAATCTTCCACTTGAACACAGAGGATCAGACTTTTTATGTTTTGGTTTTTTCTAGTTGAACTAATCTTTTGAACTGAGACCTGGAAGGGACATGGAGAAAGGAAAAAAAAAAACAGGGAGAGGAGGGAAAAAAATAGAGGTATCTTTTGAGAGATCTCGCAAAAGTCCCATCACTCTTATTGGATGTTTTGGGAAAACTGTGCCTCATGCTAAGCACTGCTTTAATGTCTTTATACTTTAGGCCAATTTCAAAATAAAACTCAATAAAACTCTCGCATGGGTGGGTGTCCTCCATTGTCGTTTCTCCATACTCCCAAGAACACCCAGATGTGTTTTGCGAGGAGAAAGTTTTGTGAGATCCCAAGAAAGTTTAGCTCGACCTCACAAAACATACCTCGACTTTTTTTTCCCTCTCCTTGTGTTTTTTCTTTTTGCTTTCTCCATGTCTACGTACTTTTGTGCCATCTTTAAATTTTAAAACTTTTCCTCTTGTCCAGGTTTCATGTGGACAAACTGTCTTCGGCTCACGTTTACCTACGGTTGCCAAAGGTAATGAGTCAATGTACCATGTATTAAAATGCATATTGAAACACCTTGTTGGAGTTTCATAATGTTTTGGTTTTTGCTGCTTTTCTTTGTCTGATTTGACAGTAAACAAAGTAAACTTTGGACAGTTGGTTGGAAGACACAAACATGGTTTTTAAAGAAAATAATCAGCAGAATGATTGTTAAGGAATATAATCATCAGTTGGCAGTTCAAGGTTATTAAAGCATCACAACATCACTGTGGTGTCTGTTTGAAAGTGGCATTGATGTGAATATTACGTGGTATCCTACACACTCTGATTGTTCTTTGTGGTTCTTTTTCAGGGTCATACCATAGATGATATTCCTCCAGAGGTGCTGATAGACTGTGCACAGCTGGTGAAAAACAACAGCATCCAAGGTAAGGAAAAAAAACAGTTCACCTTGAAACCTAATTGCTGACCTGAGAAGTCGTCCTGTGAAAGCTTCTTCCTGCTTTTTTGTGACATATTGTCTGTAAACCTTGTTCAGCATACTAAGGTTTATTGTGTTGCTGTCAGGCTGTAAGATGAACAACATCAATGTGGTTTACACACCGTGGGCCAATCTGAAGAAAACGGGAGACATGGACGTCGGACAAATCGGCTTCCATCGTCAGAAAGAGGTCAGAAAACCACTGATGAGACACTGGGGGGAAAAAGACAAGGATGTAACTCAAAGTTGAAGGTTCCTGTTTGCTATGATGGGTTGTTATGCTGAAGTCAGTTCTGTTTGAAAAGAAAAATCCACAATCTGATCCTCAGTATTAAGCATTATCTTCACTCAGCTTCATGTTTTCTCTATAATGAAGTTGATCTTCTGCCATCTGCATTCATCACCAACAGAAGTGTTTCGTTCTGCTTCTCTCAGGTGAAGATCGTGGCGGTGGAGAAGAAGATCAACGAGATCGTAAATCGTCTGGAGAAAACAAAAGACGAACGATATCCTGACCTGGCAGCAGAGAAGGAATCAAGAGACCGGGAGGAGAGGAACGAGAAGAAAGCTCAACTCCAGGAACAGAAGAAGAGAGAGAAGGAGGAGCAGAAGAGGAAAAAAGAGATGGAGGAGCTCAGGTAGGCTTCAAGTCCAGGACAAATGTTCAGTAAATTTGTGTTGCAGTGAAAAAAGAAAACGTTTCACTTGTATAAAATAGTTTGCTTTTAGACAGAGTGGCTTTTATTGTCTCATCAGGCTATGTTTTGAGATAAAAGTTACTTATTTTACTTTTTAACTGAAAAGGAACATCTACATTCTGTGCAGTGTAGGTTTCTTTTACCAGTTGGACTGATCATCACCTCAGCCGAACTAAAGGAAAGATAAATAAGAGAGGTCATTTTAAAGCAAAAAAGTCAGTCGACTGGAACGGCTATTTTACTACAGTAGGAATCTCCATCTGGGATACACTCAGCCATGCTGGTTTGTTTTTTATGTGTTTATGCGGCAGAGGTCAGAGAAAACAACATATTGTGCACATAAAATGACTTAGTAATTGTTATAACAGCTTTTACTGACTTTATGGGACACTGACCATTTGGTCCTGGCCAATCTAGTTCTTTTCTTCCATTTAGTTATGAGGAGGTCAAACGCCATGTCCAGAGATGTAGTTTCATAGTTGGGATTACTCTCACATGGAAACACATGGAGAGTCTGGCATCAAAAGGTTCCCCTCTTTGTAGCAACAGGTTTTGTGCTCTTTACGTGATTGTGCTGCTGCCAGTGTTAGTGCTGTCTCACTCAATGAATCTCGGTTGGATTTTGGGTCGTGCCCAGTATTCCTTGTCTTCCTGTCAGGTTAGTGACCTGTAGCAGCATGACTCTGAATCTTTTTGAAGCACTAAAGGCAGCAGCTTAAAGCGGTATTGCGTCAACACTGTGTAATAAGTCTGTTTTGGTCTCTTCAGGAACTATTCTTCATTGATGAAGGGTGAAAACATGAAAACTAATGAGGTGAGGACATGAAGCAACTCACAGAGATCACAGTATTTGAACTAGTCAGAGTTTCTGAGTTGTTCATATTGTTGTTGATAAACAGAATTATTGCGTCAGAAGAACAGCCGTTTTAGGACGACAATACTGACTGTGGTCTTTTGCATTCTGCAGGACGGCTACGATTCAGACGACTTCATGTAAGAGGTGAAAACGAGGAGGCAGCAAGCAGACAGGCGATCTGCTGTGGGGACGCTCCCCTGCTGCTTTTGCTTGCTGTAACTCTGCACTGACACTGAAAAAAAAGAACAAACAAAAACAAATGGATACCTTTTGCTTTTGGACACTCAGAGCAGAACACGAGCCAGCGAGGGACGGCCCTGGGACTTGCGGTTCAGAAACTGCTTTCAGACCAAACCGAGCTGGCTGACCTCTTCATCACAGGAGGACACTGTGGATGAAGAAGCACAGGACAACAGGAATATTGAGGATCATTTTAGGGGGAGAAACACTCAGCAGAACATTGTTTGACGGGGTTTTCACTGCCATGTCGACTGATGTTGATAAAACTGGAGTCTGTGTGGGTGTGTTTGATTTAATTACTCATTTAAACAGCATTTTGTTGAGGCTGCCAACCCCCCCTGCTCCCTTTCTTTATGTGTTCATTTCTCTGCATGTCAGATTTTATTGAGTACAATTCTGTGTATGAATTACACTCACAATCTGTTGTTAGTAATTGATGCTTGCACTGTGAAATATTCTGCTCATGCATTAAAAACAATCTCAGTCTGTCATTTAGTTATTATTTAGCAGATTCAGATGTGCCTGCAGTACCAATATAATCTCCTGTCATGACATCATGACAGTAGCTCCAGTTTAGACTTGCAGGTGTTAGGTCTGCAACTGCTGATTATTTTTGCTTGTTGATTAATCTGCAGATTGTTATCTCAAATTATTGATAAGATGTTTGGTCTATAAAATGTCAGAAAATGGTCAACACTGTTGATTATTGATTCCCAAAGCTCAAGATGATGATGCGTTTTGTCGACAACCCAAAGATGTTAAGTTTGTAATCACAAAGGAGGTAAGAAACCAAAAAGTATTCAGCTGAAATCAAAGAGTTGTGACCCCCCCCCCCGTTTTTTGTTTAACTTAAACTGATAAATGGACGGGACTGCAAGCAAGGTGGCTCTGTGATTAGCATCATTGCCTCGCAGCAAGAAGATCGCTGGTTTGCATCCAAGTGAGGACACCCGGGATCTTTCTGTGTGGAGTTTGCATGTTCTCCCCGTGCAGCGTAGACAGTCCAAAAACATGTGGAGGTTAATTGATTCCATATTCGCAGGTGTGAATGTGAGTGTGCTTGGTTGTCTGTCTCTAAGTGTAGCCCTGTGATAGACTGGTGACCTGTCCAGGGTGTCCCCTAAGTTGGCTGGGATAGACTCCAGACCCCCCATGACCCTAATGAAGATTAAGCGGTGTATAGATAATGGATGGATGGATGATAAATGGATTATCAAAACAGCAAGTAGTAATTAAATTAATTGATAAATTGTTGCAACTCTAGTATATGTTCACTTTCACATCCTGAAAATTAAGAAATTAAAATAAAACAATAGTTTATTTATAATTAAGTTTATTAAGCTAACAAGAAAATACCTCTTACATACACTGATGTTGGTTCAACATGTTAGTCTGTATAAGCGTACAATGGGATTGTGCTGCAAGAGGCTGCTAAATCCTCTTTTTTTGTGGGTCACTAAAATAGCTCTACTAGCACTAAAATAGAATATGGCATCATAATTACTTATGTTAAAAACGAGAAGCCAATGAAGACATATAGTACTTCATACCTTTTTTTTTCTTCTACCATTTATTTACATGAACAAAGTACCACTGCTGATCAGTCTTTCAGGAGCTTCAAACGTGGAATACCACAGGTTGTTGTTATACACTTCGGTTGAAATACCTGCAAGCTGTAGCTGGTTAGTGGTGAAAACTGTGTCGTTGTCTTCTTGTTTACCGGTCGAGAAAGAAAAGGAGCTGTGGAGGATGCGGGCATCGATCCCGCTACCTCTCGCATGCTAAGCGAGCGCTCTACCATTTGAGCTAATCCCCCGTACTAGCACATACTATGACGTCGTCATCTCAGGCCCTCCCTATAGAACCAAGCTCGGATTCGACGTTCTTTCATTCCTCCGAGCCTTTCCGAGGCGGGTTTTGTCACTCTACCTTTCTCTATAAAATGCCCCAAAACCGTGTCAAGTCTGAAGTTCTTGCCTGCCTGTGTTTTAGTGTTAGATTGTGCCAGTACAGGCCTGTCTGCCTCATCATTGTAACAGGACAACTACTCTGACTAGTAGCTCCATGGCTCATTCTGTACCTTTGAGTTTGTTGGGACAGGTTTTTAGTTGGTCACTGGTCTTGCTGTATGCATGTATGGTATGGCAATAGTTTTCCATGTGGTGCCATGATGCACACAATTACAGCTCATAGGTCCCAAACTGAGAAAGTTCTGGTGTTCATAGATCTTTTTAAAAAAATAAAATAAAAATTATTGTTTTAAAATGTGTTCATGTCATTAGGCCGGATGGAAATCACAAGTGTACTCAATTTTAGGTTGACCAAACATCCCATTTTCCCAGGACATGTCCTGTTTTCACATCCTGTCCTGGCCGTCCTGGTTGTTTTTTAATAAAATGATGAAAATGTCCTGGTTTTCAATGTATTGACATTATAAGGCATCTTTGAGTAAATTTTGAGTATCATTTGAGTATATCATTGACGGGCCAAGTGTCCTGGTTTTTGGTAAACAAAATGTGGTCACCCTACTCAATTAAGTTTTCTTTCTCCCCTTGTTATTGAGTATTTCCTTGACGTTGTTGGACCTCTGACCCAGGAACTTGTCCATCTCGACCAAGGAGCGGTGCATCACTATAAGGCCTCCAAAAGTAGTCCAGGTAAGTCAAAGAAGGCTTCTTCTGTCCAGACAGGGTTAAGTGTCTTCTCTACAGCTCTTCTAAGTTATGTGTCAGTGACCCCAGGTGTATTTACTTTTGCTGCATTGACTTTCTATTTCTGGGCCTGTATTTTCAATATATGGGCCTATATGTCATAAATATGAAATACAGTGTTGTCACAGATACAGTGAGTTGCACTTCAGGCTACAAAACAATTAGCTATTACACCAAATAAACAATTAACATTGTTTTTTCTTTTTAACAATATGTACTGACAGTTATCAGTGAAGCACTTATTGACACTGAAGAAATCTTAAAATCTTGTTTGTTCTCACAAAAACTCTAAAGCCTCCCATTACCCGGCATATCATGAGATAGTTTTTCTTCTTTTTTCCTGTCACAGTAATAATGAGATAAAAGTCATAATTACACACTCCCATTTTTTTTTAACTTCTGCCTTGCACTTCCACAGGTGCAGTATTAACCAGGAGAAAAGCTGAATTGGAGTTATTATTTCTTTTGCCTGTAGGTGGCAACACAGACACATGTACAGCTTTCAGGTCTATCTGGAGCTACATAAGGCATTTTGTTTTTAACTGCAAAAAATGTCATTTTACCTAATTTGACTACTCTAAAATTTTGAGAATTTTTGCAACTTTAGGTTTACTTTAAATAAATCAGTAAATGTTTACTTAATGTTATTTATTGCTATTTCTGTATCTCTACTGGTTAAGTAGCTGTTGGAATCAGTATAAATATGATAAGTCCGTTTTATATCCACACAGAACCAGCAGGGATCAGCACTGATCATCAGAAGATTTTCTGGGGGGGAAAAAGGTAATCCTCACAATTTCAGCTGTTGCTTTATGTACATAAGACTATCACAAAATATAAATACATACTGTTTTTGTTTTTTAAATGCTGCTTCCTGAACCTTAGCATTTTGGGCTGATATGCCAGTTAATTTGGAAAAACTTTACATGCTTTTGTAAACACCCTTTATTGTGTGGCCATTCGTGGTCCTCTTCTGTCTATATCTTGGGGTAAAATTCAAAAACTGGTGACTAATTGTCACTCATGTTCTTGCAGAACAAAGACAAGCAGAAAAGCAGAAAGGTTGTAACAGTTCACCTATTAATTCCGAGGTGACA